AAAGAGAAGAAGAGAGAAGAGAAAAGAAAGAAAAGAAAAGTGAGGGCGTTCACAGCCGCACACCCCATTTCCCCAGCACCCACCTCCTCCTGAGTTTTGTAGCCCAGCCTGTTATTTTTATGTTGCCCAGGTTTATAGCCCTTGCTACTGTATTGTGACTGTAGTACCCCCGAGAATTTAGTATCTGTTTAACATTTAAATGTAGTCAGCGGTCACCAAAGTCCTTTTACCATTTCTGTCCCTCTTAATTAGCTAGATTTCATTGTCAGTTGTATTTTCAGAAGGACTTGAGTATTTCCTGAGTGTTTTGTGTCCAAGAATGTCTCCCCGTGGTCATCTCTGGACAATATGAAGGTGTCTTTGCTGGGTATAATGCTCTTATATTTATTTTCTTTTCCAGCACTTTGTAACAATTATTTCACTTTCCCCGGCTGCATGTTGTTGTGGTGAAGCCTGAGGTTGGCTGATTTTTCCCTGTTTGGAGGACTGGCCTTCCTTTCATGAATTTATGAGGAATTCTTTCTTTTTGTCTCATAGTTTGTCTGCTTAACCAGACTATGTCTCAGAGTTGAGTATTTTGTGTTAAACTTCTGGTATGCTGTGTACTCTTTGAGTTTCCAGGTGTGTGTGTGTGTGTGTGTGTGTGTGTGTGTATACATATGTTTTTCTTTTTTTCTTTTCTTAGACTGAGTCTTGTTTTGTTGCCCAGGCTGGAATGTAGTGGTATGATCTCAGGTCACTGCAGCCTCCGCCTCTCAGGTTCAAACGATTCTCCTGCCTCAGCCTCCCCAGTAGCTGGGATTATAGGTGCCCACTACCACACCTGGCTAATTTGTTTTTGTATTTTTAGTAGAGACAGGGTTTCACCATGTTGGCCAGGCTGGTCTCAAACTCCTCACCTCAGGTGATCCACCCGCCTCAGCCTCCCAAAGTGCTGAGATTACAGGTGTGAGCCACAGTATGCGGCCTGAATTTTTGTGATTATCTCAAGCCGTTCCTATTTGTTGGCAATTTTGATTTCAGTGAACTGTTCTAGCTGTTTCTAACTTATTGATTAGTTCAGTAATGATGTTATTTTCTCTTAGTTTTTGAGTTTTCCATTTTTTTTCTCTTTTGAGATGGAGTCTCACTCTGTTGCCCAGGCTGGAGTACAGTGGCGCTATCTTGGCTCACCACAACCTCCACCTCCCAGGTTCAAGCAATTCTCCTGTCTCAGCCTCCTGAGTAGCTGAGACTACAGGTGCACGCCACCGCACCTGGCTAATTTTTGTATTTTTAGTAGAGATGAGGTTTCACCATATTGGTCAGGCTGGTCTTGAACTCCTGACCTCAGGTGATCCACCCACCTTGGCCTCCCAAAGTGCTGGGATTACGGGTGTGAGCCACTGCGCCTGGCCCATTTTTTCAATTTAAAAAAATTTCTGCCAGGAGCATTGGCTCACACCTGTAATCCCAGCACTTTGGGAGGACAAGGTGGGCGGATCACTTGAGCCGAGGAGT